AGAAGCACAAATGACTTAGAAGGACCACGGGTATAAACTTACAGAGATAATATCAACAGTAGTTAATTACCCAATACATCTATTCAAGCTTACACCTCATGAGTGTGTTGCTTATATTTGCCTTGGTGCACTGTAAATCTCTCTTTCATTACTGTTCACGAGCCACAAACATTACTTTTTTTGATATATTCTAGAGGCATACGTATTTACACTTGGAAAGAAAATTAAATACACCAAATGTCTAATGAGCAGTTCCCTTCTATCCATAACATATTCAAGGGCCAATATTTTAGTGCCGTAATGAAAAAAAAACTTTTCTTCAACAGAAGTATGCTAGCATACTTTGATCATCACTTGTATCTATTTTCAGCACATACTTGTTGACTGCTCTAGAGCTCATTAAAATAAACAGTCTTTGGGAAAGTGTTTTTGTGTTCCAATAATGATAATTAAAAAGATAGCATTCATGCTGCTTAGATTATATGGAGTGTGCTTAGATACCTTTTTAGAATCTAAAGGCAATGACATGTACCTGTTGTCCTTGTTAAGTACCTATAATTGAGGGAAAATTGACTAGCAAATACAAAGAAAATTGAAAAATGATTCAAACTAGAATTGGAAAATTCTTAACAACCATTAGAAATATATATGGTTGATAATCCAAGACACTTCAAATTATGGAAAAAGAGGAAATAAATAAATAGAACTCATGTATAGAGAACACCAGGAGTAAACTTGTATAATAATAAGATAAATTATATGTACCATATTTTATAACTCTGCTCTTTGCAGCACATCTTACCTTGATACATCTACTTATGTCTCCTTTGGAGATATTAACAGAATTGTTGGCCATTCAAGTTATCAATAGTTCAGTAATGAAAATTAAATGAAACAATAGCAAACATAAGGGTGTTTGCACTGAAGTGCAGCAAAATTTGTTACAATCTACTGCATATGCAAGTTTTGCTGTATTCTCCCAAATCTAGTAATTTTCTAAATCACCTAGTTTCTACTCTCTATTAATTTTCACTTTTAGCGAGGAAAGACCTTTTCTTTCAAGTAATTGAGTAGTCAAGTAGTCAAGTTAAAAACACTAACAGCTTGCCGGTGTATGAAGATTGCATGGGCTTGTATGGAGATTGCAATGATTTCTTGTTTAATGCTTATGTCAGTGATACAGACTACAAAGACAGAAGAATCTGTAATCCTTCCATCAAGAGTGTGTCAGAGACCTCCCTGTGCTCTGAGCACAGAAAGCAAAAGCATCTTCCTAAAGTTAAGTGATCAGGACCTCCACGTTCTCCTCCACTTCTGCAGGTACCTGATGATAGCTCCTTTTCAGAATCCATGGGTCAAGGCACTGATGTTGCTTTTTCTCTAAACTGTTTCACGAATCCTTCAGTGACTAATCATTTGGAGTTGCTGTGGTTATGTTGATAACAACACACAGTACATTTCCATTTCCAGACCAAATGGTCTTAATTTTTAGAATCAACTTTGGAACCAAGTATTTTCCAGTTAATGTAGAAGTTGCTTTCCAGAAACAATTTCTATTACACATTTTAAAATTCTCATTTCTCAAATTCTCCTTCTTAGTAAACTCATTTACCAAGAGCAAAAATAGATGGGCCTTGAACACACTAAAATCTAATTTGCTCACTGAAGAGCAGGGGCACTCAAGCAGATGAAGAGCCTATCTGGTTCATTCTGTTATTTCCAGCAGTGACCAGTAGTAGATATGTAGGGGAAGAGTGTCAGGCTCTTCACCCTCAAGAGTATCTGTGAGGTAATTCTTCTACTAGCATATCTTTCTACCTTCCAGCAATCAGTAGCAGAGGGACCTGTCCTCCTGGACCAAGTTTATATCTGTCTGGTTTTTTGTTCAGTACAGAACACCCTCTTTTTCAGATCATCTGCTAATACAGTGACCAGCACAGATCCTTGTAACACACCCCTCCAACTATTTTGAAAACAAGTAATTTGCTCCTACCTCCTTATCTTATACCTAATCAGTCATTAATTTATGAAAGGACCTTCTTCCTTGTCCCATGACAACTTCCAGTTAATAGCCTTAGGAAAAAACCTTATCAAAAGTGTTCTGTGGAAATAAACATAATATATCAAGCATGCATACTTGCTTTCTGAATTTCAAGAAACTCTAATAGACTAAGAAAGCATGATTTTTTTTCTAAAAGAAAAAGCAAAAACCAAGTCACGTTGACTCTTCCCCATTATATCATATGCTTATTCATTCTCTCTTATTCCTTCATGTAGTGGTCACGACCAGTTTCCTTCATAGAGGTGCTAGAATGACTTTTTATGCAGATCACTCTGGATCTGAAAAAAACAGATTTGACACTTGCCACATCTATTCTTCCTGTGCTAAGGCCACTATAAGTGATAAGCTATACATCAAAGCTGGTCGTTTGGCAATTTCTTGTCTAAGTTCCTTTGAAATACCTGAGAGGATATTATCTGGTCCTTATATTTGTCACAGTTCATTTTACGATTTCTTCTAAAGTACATTCTATTGACACTAAATTTGAAACACTTCCTGGGACTTACCTCCTGTAAGAAAAAGCTCCAGGGTAAGAACTTCCCAAACTCTTCCAATGCAAAGAATTATCTTATTTTTATGCCTTAGAGACTCTCCTCTTTCAGCGCATTTGAAAAAAGGTTTTATTATTAGTTCTTATGCTCTTATAAAGTTGGTCCTCATAGTCTTTGCTATATACTTCCTATATATACTTTGTGGGCTTGCTATATATACTTTACATTTAACTTGCTAGAGTTCATGCTTATTTCTTATTCTCAAATGACTCTCTCTTGTAGAACTTTTTTTCTGTTGTTTAACTGGGCCTTTAAAAAGCCCACAGGTTTTGTAGCATATCACCAGCCCCTACAGAACTTTCTATGGATTATTACTGAAAACACAGCTGCAAAGCAGTAAGGTAACGACTGCTGGGCGTGAAATTTGCCCAGCAGACAACATCACGCAATGTGAGTATGCATAGGCTCACAAACTTCAGCCTCTTGCAGTGCAGTTCTTTCCCAGCAGCATTAATGGGAACTCAGCTGTGATGTAACAAATACTTATCAGCAGCTTCAGACCCAAGCATGTTCCCCTCATATTTCACAGCGGCCTCCTCCCCTGCAAATCAGACCGGCCAGCAGTGGAAGACCGTTTGTACTGTGCCTTTCTGTGAATCTTCCCTCTTATTGTGCATTTTTAGGGCATGATTACATTTGTACCTCTCTCTCAGGTAGGAGAAGGTTTTGTTCAGAAAGATCCACCAAAGGAACAGTCTTAAAAGCACAGTGAGCAGCACTATCCAAACTTCAAGGTCAGATGCCAGCAGTCCAAGAAGGTCAGCAGTTATGACAGAAAATACAATTGCCTCTACACCCATGACTGACTGGTTGCGTTTGACAGCTCTCTGCTTCGTGAGACTGTTAGAGACAGCGAGTGTGAAATTTAGCTTCAGTGACTCCGGCCTCTTGTTACGGCTTTCTCTAATGTGCCACGGCAGAGAGGCTGAGAGAGCTGAACGCTGCTGAAACTTGAAAGGACTCAATATTAAAGAAGACATAACAGCAATGGTTCTCATTTCACGCTGACCGGGCTTCCCCTCCGTTCACACGATACATCTGAAGCAGCAGTGGTGGCTGGGTGTTAGGTCCACACGGACGGACCGCTGCGTGCGATCAGCTCAGGGAAGCCTGCCTCAAGTGCCCCCTCGGATGATCAACAAAAATGTGGCTGCTTAATGATGGCAGCCCTCTAATTAAGGTAGAGCGGTCTAGGCCTAGAACTAATTTTAATCAAAAGAACTGCCTAATTATCACACACACTTTACAAATGAGCTCACTCAGACACAAAAGAAGTTAAGGGAGTGATTTGAAGGCAGGTTCTGAAGGTTTACAGAGATCGGTAGGAGCAGATACCAGCAGACCCAGATTGCCAGTCTCCGCTGTCAGTCCTCCGCTGTAACCTCTTCAGTGTGATACATTCATTTTGTGCATTTCAAAAACTCTGCGAGCAAAAGAGATTCAGGAGAAAAAGGGGGAGTCACTCAGCAATTTTTGACATGCCTGTCCTTGGGGACTGAGACCACAGAGGTTATGGCAGCTGCCTTCCAGACCCTGGTGGCACAGAACAAGAAGGCTGATTTAACTTGCAAAGCTAATAAGAGCTAAAAGAAGTGTCAGGGTAAAGATAACACTGTTGTAAACAGAAATACTGGTATAGACTTCTAAAGCCAGTTAGAAATTTTCTATGCAAAGTCCCGTTAAAGCAAATGGGAATGAACATCCAAATACACACACAACTTTGAAAAACTCAGCTCTTTTACCTTATATGCTTCCAAACCAGGATTTATGCTCTCTAAAACCAACCAGTAACTAAAATTAGCATGAGATAGGTTGTAGTGTACATACAAGATAATTTCATCAAACTATGCAGGTAAGAATTTTAAGTTAACTACAGATACCATTCCTTGCCCTTGAAGGTATTGAACAAATCTGCTGGACACCACTTCTTAGGTTTTCTGGTCTATGTCACAGTCTCCTCTAGTCACATTTATTGCTACAGATTTATTAATACTAGAGGACTGAGTTGCTATCACTTAAAGAGTTACTGTATACTTATGGAGGTATGTGTACACATGTTTTTGCTACAGAAAACAGAGACAGAAACATTAAGCTTTAATAAAAGTGATTTAAGCTAACATTTGCAAAGGACAGAGTACACACACAAGCAGTCACTGCAACTCAGCTAACAGGGGGTAACTCATTAAGCAACAGTAATTCAAATTTGTGGGAGTCCTTGCTTTTCCAGAACTATCCTCTCACTTAAGATGTCTCACGGCTGAATTACCAGGTTTGAGCTTTTGATTTTCAGTCACAAACACACAAACTGTATAGATATTATCTGAAGCTTGATACATACATTTCCCAAACAGGCACTTTATAAGGAGGCTCAGAAGTCAGATACTCACTGATCTGGTTGGTAGACGCACTATAAAAAGCATTTACAGTAGTTGGGCTTGTAAACCACCTGTAGTAAGAGCAAAAGAAATCGGCTGTCAGTACACTTACACGTCTTTATGAATAGAATGAGTAAAGATAAAAAGTGAATTCAGTGGAAGGAAGCAAAAATGTGAAGGACCCAGGATATATTAAAGTTTAAGTATTTCTCCATTTCAACACATGCTACCTACACTTTCTAGAACATTGAAATCTATTGTTTAATGGCTTTATTTGTGCATACAGTCAATGAATGTTCAACAGGAGTGAATGTTAAGCTTCCTATTACCTAATCTATTTTATTTCTAAGTGACTGTTGTGCTTGTGGAGTCTGCCATGCTGACGAACTGAAGTTCACCCAGCAGAGGCTGCAACACTGATAGCAGCTGTGAAAACTCTCTTAGGTGTCTTTCAACCATGTGTGGAGAAACTCCCTCTTGAAATTAGAGGAGAGCATTTTGAAGCGAGTGAAATGGCTTCAGATGCTTTGCTGAACAACTACTTGAACAATTAGGATGATGCCTGCAACATGGGCAGGGGCTTCCTAGGAACCTAAATTCAAAATAAACAGCTTCACATTCTGTACCCTACACAATGAACACGGCTATCATAACATGCTCATAAACAAATGGACCTCTTGCAAGGCAAAACAAACTTAAAAAAGAATATTAGCATTTCTTCTCATAGTTAGATTTCTCATACATACTGGAGGGAAACCTAGATTTGAATAGCAAATAGGATTTATGAATTTCCTTAGTCTAAGCTCATCTATATTGACGGTGGTTTCACCCATATGAGTGGAAAATCTCAACTGGCTTCAGCAAGATCCAAATCCCCTCAGATGAAACTCTGAGTTCAGTGAGTCCAAGATGTCACTTTCTGATTTTATAAGGAAGAACTGAGATAAAAGAAAAGTAATAAAGATGAGAATTAGTGGTTAATTCATAATAAATTAGAAGCAACTCTAGTAAATGTCCAAACAGGAACATCCTGATGTCTTTAGCAATGCATGATTCAGAAGTTTTGTAAAGCCAAATGAATGCAATGCAATTGCTTTGGAAAATATCTTTCAAAAAGAAGAGATGGGAGCTGCAAAACAAAGTGTAAGACAAAGGAAGATCTATCAGAACAGGGAAAACGTGATGTCAGTGACGTTCACGTACACGATCTGCACTTTAAAATAGCACCATCAAATGAATGCGTTATCTGCAGATCCTGACTGTTTTTCTGGCAACTGATGTCCTCACGTAAACCACGGAACAAAGGGGAGAGTTTTAGAATGGCACCATTCTGTCTTTTATCAATAAATATGTCTGCTTTTCTCATCTTCAAAGCTGAGCAGCTTATTTTACAATGCAGCAACTAGTAAAACTAACCAATGAAAGCAAAGGGTGATGTCATGTAAATACCTTAACCATTCATCGCATTATAGGCTTTAATTGCCACAGATAACTCTCCCTGTTTTGTTTACTAGGAGATTCTGAAGGGGAGGAGCAGGGGGAGGTTGTTTTCTGGTGTGTTTTCTGTTTCCTCTATAATAAAGAGATTTAAGTTAGAGGTAATGTAGTGAGATAATGGAAAATTGAAGAAAAAAATGCTTATGGTGAGGAGATAAAGAAAAAATGCTTATGGTGAGGAGATAAAGAAAAAATTAAGGGGCTTAATTACATTTCAATTTCATGTTTGCTCACAGCAGCAATCAGCTGAACTGTTTTGAAGGATACAAGCCAGCCACTTGTGCGGTGGGACCTGCTCTCCAGGCTTAGCAGTAGCTCTGGAGGACTCTGTCCCTTTACTCTGTCCCTTTTTTGACAAGGAAAGAACCCATCTGAAAGGGACACATCTGATACACTCAACACTTTAACTTAGGTTTTACTGTAAGTTTGAAAAAAGACACATAGCATTATGACTTCCACCTCACCCTGTTGGCTTGTTCTACTTACAACGGCCTTTCCGTTCTCTCAGACAGCAACTTTTAAGCGTGAAAAAGGCTTCCAGGACAACAAATCTTCCCTTTTTGCAAATCCTTCTTAGAGCGAGTATCTAACAGGGCCTTTCATTTCCAGTCACAGGATCAAGGGCCTGAGACAGATAACAGATACTTCAAAACAGACTAATGTGCTTTGCTCTTCTCCCCATCCTCTTTGCTGCTGCAGCCCCAGGGGCTCACCGCAGCTCGTTCAAGATAGGAACCACCACAAGCAGTGGTTAAAGAGCTCTTCACTGACAAGCGACACCTCTCTAACAGTACAAGTTTGCACCTGCTTTTATTGGATGAGGAGCTAACCAGCGATGCACGTACTTGTCACCACAGGAGCACCTCACTCCGCCCAAGAGCAACTGCAAATGCCGTTTGGTTCGCAGCTACCGAGGAGGACATCACACCACTGGTGGCCATGCTTTCATACCTATGAACTCATAGACTCGTAGCTCATAGACTAGCTGCTAAGACTCATCACAACATCCCCATCCTGAGACTGCTTCTTTCTTCATGATCTACCACCACAATAACAGAGCCCACCCCGTTTCCTGAGCTTAGTATGAGCCAAAGACCGATAGCAGCCTCGATTTTCTCACTGTAAAACTGAAGTAAGTTCTTTCCAAGTTGCTCTTTCATAACGAGGCCTCAAGAATGACCCCATATGAAGTTTGTTATGTTTTTAAGCAGCTAGGAAGAGGAGACTTAGCAGCTGTACCAAGGAGTCAGGAAGAACAAGAGTTCTCTAGTGACAAGCAGAGAATACTGCTGAACTTCATATTTGATGTTTAGACAGTTGGCAAGGAGTGTATTTATACTCCAGCATTTTGTTGTACCATTCTGAGCCACTCTCAAAGAGATTTAGGAAGCATTTTCCACAAAAGAGCAGAAATAACCAAGACTGCTTCCATTCAGACTAGCAGAACAACTTCACCTCTCATCTGTCATCCTCTTTCAGTGAGCTCCTTGAAATGACTGAACCTTCAGTGACAGACCTTAACTAATAACAAATCAAATTATTATATGAAGGTCTGTAATAAATAGCTGTCGCTGTTAAATTTTAAGGTGAAGCAAATTTAGAAATAGCGCTCTCATTCCCATTTGAAGTCAGGTTGCCTGGGCATTTGCTCTAGGTCTGGTTACAATTTCAGTGTATTTGATCTATTAGCAGAAGGATGGGAAAAAAAAGACAGGCATAACAAACTCTAAGCACTTATTAATTAGAAACTAAATTAAAAAAAAATCTAGACTTGTTTACACTGTTTCCATTTGCCATTAGCATGTGAAAAAGGGACAGCTTTGAATGATGTCCTGTAACATTACCTATCAACTACTGCAGCAGTCAAAACCTAATGCTGCAGACTTGACACCTGTAAGTTTGAGATTTCTCTTGTAGAAATAAAATCTGAAACCTGCACAGAGATAGCAAGTGGGGCAGATACTCTCTTAGGTTTCTGTTTCTTTAGGCTACAACTTTTTCCGCAATATCTTCCTTTCTGAGTTAAGAGTATGGTGTCCTACATTGCCAGTCATGAAGAGGGGTGACTGGGAACGTTTACAATACAGGGGAAAAAAATATTAATTTATTTAATTCTCTATAAAGCACAAACTGAATTTGAAATTTTTTCTCTCAACTTTTTGAGTTAGAAGAAACCACTCAGGTGAAGCAGAATTTGGTGTTCGATGTTCGATGCCCCAAGTAAGAATTAAAAAAAAAAAAATCATACAAGTAAAGAAAAGGAACTTGTAAATGTATAATGTACTTAAGCTGTTTAGAAGTGAAAGGCTGTACAAAGTTGCTAATGGAGCTAGAATCTGGAAAATCTCTTCCCTAGGACTATAAAGAAAAACTTCTAAAGGGGAGCAATCTTCAAAGTGGCTTTCAAAAGTGTATTTCCTTTTCTCATTGTTAGTGTATTTTATACATTTTCCCATGTAGAAACAGAGGATTAGTCTCCCAGGCCAGGCTGCCATCCGCCTCCCCTGGGGCTGGGCAAGAAACTGGGACGGTAAGGCTAGGCCCAGCCTCCAGTGCCACATCACTGCTTAAAATGAGGTTCAAAGACCAGAAAAAGGCTCCAGGAGGCTCCTTTCCAGCCTCTCCTCTCCAGGACAGGTCCACCCACAGGATTTCTGAGCTCTCCAGCAGCATCTCTCCAACAGACAACAGCCTGCCCAGTATCTTTCATGGCTGCTTTTCCCTTTCTGCAGAAGGAGCTTTTGCACTGTCCTTAATGGCATCCAACCCAGCACCTCTCAGAACTGCCCTCCCCTGTGGTAAACCAAGAGCCAGGGCTTACAAACAATAGTGTGTGGTCAAGAAACTGGAATAGGTCCTGGAGGAGACCCGGGAATCTTCTCATAGTACACTTCCTCTGTGTCCTCTTATAGGGCTACTGGATGCCTACATCTCCAGCACTGAAAGCTGAGTGAAAAGTGAAGAAAGATTTGGCCAGGTCTAAAAATCTTAGAGGAGATGACCTGACTTCAAAGGGGAAAGATTAATGATAATGAAGTAGTACACCCAAGAAGTCCTCTGATCGCCTGCTATTTGCAAGTGTGATATCAGTGTTAAGAAGGATCGATTCAATCACTGTTAAAGAGGTGTGGGTGTGTGTTTGGATATACGTACACATATACACACACGTGTATGCATATTTGTATGTATGAATGTATATAGCTCCATGGATGGATAAGCAAACACCACTAAAACCCTGATTATCCTTTATCTCTCCCTTCCCCATGGCCACCACTTCCCCACGCCCTGCCTTTCACCTCCCTCTGCTCTAGTCGTGTCTCATCTGGATTATTATAATTGTCTTCACGCCCGGTCCCCTTCCTCCCACACTCCCCCCCTTCCAGCCTCGCTTCCTCCATTCAGCCCTCTCGAGCCAACCTGTGCTGTTTCGTGCATCATATTCCTCAGCTCCTGCCACAAATCCCTTTTGTACATCTCTCTCCCGATACCTGAGCACTTTTTCTTGTTTGATAGAGCCAGCTGTGAAGACAACAGCCATGTCCCCAGCCAGCTGTTAGAATTGCAGCTGGCATCCAAAGCGGGTGTTGAGGACAGCAAGTTGCACCTCCCACAGCTGCGGTGCCCGTGGGGGAGCCTGGCCCCGGGACTGACAGAGCAGGCGGCTCCGGTGACCCTGATGCCTTGTCACAGCTTCTTGGTACCAGCTGGGCTGGGTACGTCCCCCCATCCATGCCCTGAGCAATGCCTCGCCTGATTTCCTCCATGCTCCTTTTTCCTCTAAGGCAGATAACTGCTAGGGAGGGAGGGAGCAGGAACAGCAGACAAAGAATTTTGATAATTACTCCTCCTTTGGGTGATTTTTTTTTTCCTTCTTTTTAGATTACAAAACTGTTGAATTTCCACTTTGATATCCATATTCCCCCTTGCTTTATCAAACTCCTTTGTCTTGTACCTCCCAGCTCCTCTGTCTGTCCCCTGATGGTGTTTCGCTGGTGCTCTGAGTGAACTATCATTTTGATTTTCCATTTAGTTGATTATGCTGAGGAAACTGAGTCCAGTTTGAAATAATATTGCTGAGGTATCTGGACTGTCTGCTAAATGAATATAGTGTTTTACCTTTTGGAGTTAATATTACTTTACTAGGTGGTAACTTATTTCCTTAAATACTCGTTTTCTCATTTATTTTTATCAGTCCACAACTTGGACCATCTTATAATATCTACCTCTAAATATAAATACTGTGCTAAAAGCTACTGAACTAGGGAAAAGAAGAAACAAAGAAAACAGAAACAAAACCCCAAGGATAATTCTCTATTAACACAGCACGAAGCTGGTTTCATAGACCAAGTTCTATGAAATATAAAACCTTAAGAAAGCAAAAACAGAAAAAGAAAAGAAAGAAAGAAAAAACAGAAGTAAAAGCATCAGAAAGCAGTAGAGTCCGATAGTTAAAATGTGACAAGTGCTGTTATATTTAAGGCCAGATTTGACGTGCCTCAGACTGGTGGGTGGGAGTTATTGGTTTATTATAACAAATTTAAAAAGAATTACTGGAGGTGGCAATGACTCTCTGTGCCTTGGTAGCCCTCAGCAGACACAGCAAAAGCGGACAGTGTGACACCATTTTCAGAGCCCTTTTCTAGCGCCAAGCAGGTGCAAAGGCAGAATAATCTCCAGCAGGCATAATTACAACTGAGGGCTCAGGTGGGTGGGGGTTTCCCCCAGCCCTGCAGAAGGCAGAGCATATAGCTGTGCTGGCAAAGGAAAGAGACTGAAAATCAAACTGGGATCCCCCAGGCCAGAACGTGCCCCGCAGGATGACAAGAAAAGCAAGACAAAGGTGATAAGGGGGCTGCTGTTAAGCAGTCCTTGGAATAAGATGGTATGGACAAGCATGAGAAAGTGTTCAATCTTGTGGTGGGCAATCGGGTAAAACCTCCATTTTTTAAACATACCCGTGCAACAGTTCTCAGATTACAGCCCTTGAGGTGTATGGTCAGGGATTACCTGCCAATTAATTTCCTTACAGGGGAGATTTCCCATCGTGCCAAGAATCTACGTGGTCTGCGTTAGTGCTGCCCCAATGCTGTTCATGAGGAGGAGGTTGCTGATCACCATTGCTATAGAGAGGCGAGTGTTATTTCACTCCTCTCATGGAAACTGTTGGTCTGAAGAGAATACACTGTTGTGACCTAGCCCTGGCACCCAGGGCTGCAGGAAAGCCCGTAAAATCATCCCCTGGGATTAACCATTGCGATATCAGGCAAAGGAGTGACGAGAAGGTAAAATTCACAATTAAAATTAAGCTATAAACAACCCCTCAAAAACATGGGGCCGAGTTACAACACGCTAACCAGGAATAGCCTGTGCCTGTCCTGCTGACATCCTCTGCCTGCCTCACGGACAACTCAGAGCTACCCCCAAAACAAGGTGCAGTTCAGTTTGAGAAGGAATTTCTGGAGCCCTAAGGAAATATCACCACAGGAGCTAAGCAGCAGCACCGATTTCAAAGTCTCTGTGTAGAAGGAGTCATTTTTAAGTAGCATGGCTAGACTAATTAAGTTCTGTTTAGGCTTTAATTTGCATTTTAAGGGTTTGATTACCCACCAGTAAGAAAAGAGACTGATTCTCTCATGTATTTTATGATAGTATGTGACACAATCTGCACTTTCATGTTTATGAATAAATAAAAATAACATATGCAAATTAAATTATGTTTTATTCCATATCATTGTTATCAACAGCAGGTAACTAACAACGCTGACTGCTATTACTAATAACATTATCTCTTACTAATGGTTCCATTCTTAGAAAATTTATTTCATAAATCCCTGCTGTACCATTCCAAATTCTAACTATGACCAAGAGACAGAATCCATTTTTGATTGAGATTCAATTACCCCCTTTTTCATTAAATTAAGTTTAAGCTGCAAGCATATGACTACTGTGCATCAGAACAGGGATACCTAGAATTTACCAAAAAAATATCCACAGGAGTTTCTGAATAACTGGGGGGGTTGCCCATAGGCTTTTTGTACCGTAATATGTTGCTTTGTATATAATAGAAATTTAATTTAATAGAAATTAAAACATAAATTGTGTAAATTAAATAATATAAATTAAAATATCGTTAGAAGACTATGTAAATCTGCCTTTTGTCTACTCACTCTGTTTTTGGAACTTCTTTTCTAAGCCAGTAGAAATCAGATTGGGCTGCATATTTGCGAGTTTGCAACACATTGCCAAAATAGTCACTCTCTGTAAACTTCAGCTGTATAGATAAAGCACAGACATTTTTAAAGCATGTCCAAGGAAACAAAAGCTGACATAAAACAATCAGAACTTTTATTTTAAACAAGATAATCACCTAATTTTTTAGCTGTTATCAAAGCAAGTAAAATTTTCACACTTGGTGGGAAGAATAAATATTTTGTGAGCTTAGTTAAAAAACAGATCTACACAAGGCACTGGATCATCGGAAAAGGTCTTCCCTGCGCAGAGAACAGCTGAGGAAATCAGAAGTATGCAATGATGAATTGCAGACTGCATGTTTCTAAGGCTATTATCCAGGCAGCCTCTTTTCCATAAGGAAGTAGGTCTCCTTTTATTTTTAAAAATGCATTTCAAAACCGCTTTCAAAAATGTAACAAAGCCCCTTTTTTCAGTTTGTTTTGCATTTTATCACAAATACTTTGTACTCTGCCCTCTGAGGGTTCTGCCACTGCTTTCTTACTGTTTCTTGCATTAAATGCTTACAGACATAGGGCTCCATGCTTCTATAAGCCTCCAAATCTAATAGCAACCCACACACACACAACTAATCATGCAAGAAAAAGGAATGTTATTATTTTATAAATCCAGCTGACACCCCGGTCACCAGTTTCAAGCAATCCTGTGACTTGTGAGAAAGTTATACTTCAGATTTAAACTATGGTTTTGCAACCATGATTAACAAGTGTTTTTCGCTAGACGTTACCACTTATCTGGGCAAATAATTCCATATGTTGAGTGGCAATTTGGTCACATCCTCTGTCTCATTCCCACTGCCTTCACAGCACCATTTCATCCTACTCTTTCCAGGAACAAGGACTAAGCTTGTAGAGTTGGTTCATCAGTGTTTTCTCAATAAATTATGCCTCTTTTTAGTGTTCTTTCACGTTCTCTGGCAAAGATGACCATCACTCTTGTATTTCACCAGTTCAGGATTGAATTTGTGATTCTACTTTGCCTGTGACTTTCAGTAACACAATTCATCACATGCATGCCACAGTTACCCCTTCGGCAAATGGCAAAATGTATTATCTTCATCATCTGCCTTCCTGCCTTAGTTAGGCTGAACAGATACTGGGTCAGGAAGGAGTCCCCCCCACAGTATCCTGGTCCAGCAGCCAGCACGGTAGGCATATACATTGGATAGGACCTCCAGGCACAATCATAACCAACAAGCATAAATAAATCCATAGCCTGGAGAGATGGGGAGAGACTATATGGAGCACCATAAATTGTGATATTCTGAGGAAAAATGCATTAGCATTTTTGAAGACTGTTACTTTGAAGAGAATTGGGTTTTTTTGTTTTGTTTCATTTTTATAACTAAATGCAAAATTTATGGCAGTGTATGTTTAACCTTTAATAGCAGGAAGGTTCTTTGTAGCCAGGCACATTTTACTCCCAGCAGGCCTTGTGGTCATCTCACTTAGACACACCGGCATTGACAATTTAGACATGAGAGCTAGCATACTTAATTCAATGTCTAAAAATAACCAGGCAAGCAGAACTCCAGATGCGTGCCAAACAAAAGAAGAGCTTTGATTTTAGACAGCAGCAAAACAGAGCAAAGCATGGCAGCAATACGTAAAAGAAGAAAGCTGCAAGTCTGACACTTACTGTTTTGATGTCTTCGTTAATATATGTGTCATTCATTATAAACTGAGGGTAACCCACTTTTGCCATAACTGCTTTTGCCTTTGAAAAAGAAAAAAAGAAAAATGTGTTCGCAGATATAACCATTTCTCAGCATATGGCTTTTTTTCCCCATTCTGTTTCCACTTTGTATTATTATGCCTCCCTGAAGGCATCTTAATTTAACTTCAAACCAACTTGCCTACAAGGTAAACTTGGTGCTGCAGATGAGCTTCACATCACAACGTGGAGGGTCCAGGTTCTATTGTCAGATTATTACAGTGGGTCTGTCGTCGCCTGCAGAGCTTTTGCAGACTTACAGCAATATGTTTGAGTGCAAAATCTTAACAGCTGATTTTCCCTACCGGTTTTTCTGTTAATCAGATGGTCAAATGCCTGTTTTTACAACGTTTTCCAAAAGACAACAGGAAATGGCCCATTTCGTTATGGCGCAGTAGCTGGTACACATCCAACTGTTTAAATAGATTTGATACACAGATACGGATGAACCTGGGTCCCAGCAAGCGCAGACTGGCATATTTCCCCTGAAGGTCACTTCCATTTACACCTGAGGATGAGTGCACACTTTTCTGAAGGATACTGTACTTTCCTAAAACCACATGGTTAACCTTTGTTTCATTCTCCACTTTCATCCCTCTACTTCGCAGTCTTTGCCCTTTCCCTAACATCAGTAAAGGTGTTAAAATAAGACGCTTCATTTTTCATTAACTTTGTTTTTTTTTCCCCTTTCAGCCATGACTTGGTGCCAGCGTTCATGCACAATCTGTGTAAACACTCTGGTGTGAAGTGATAGCAGCTGTAGTTGAGTATTCCCACTTTGTAAAGCATGGCGTAAGTATATAAACAGCCTTAGTAAGGTCGTGACAAAAACACCAGCAGGCCACCCAGCCACCCAGAATCTCTGTGGAAACAACGTGCTTCCAGAAGAAAAGCAGAAGGATACAAAAGGATAAGGCGATATACCAAGAAGTGAAATATGACAAGTCCATAGAATAAATTAAAGCCATGATGGACTGGGGTAGCCCAAAGCTTTCACTTTGTATGTTTTTGGGATGCTGATCGTAATTTCTCCTTAAGTCTTTGGAATTCCCCCCACGCCTCAAAAAACGCTCTTCTGGAAATTTGTTCTTCAAACTCAAATGTCTAAATCCAAATGATTATTGCAAGATATGAAATGCAATAAAGGGATTGGACTTTAACCACCTGCAGCCGTACCAACCCTGCATTCTGCTCTTTGCAAGCAGAGCCCAGACCTCTCTGGGGGCTCACCGACTTCTATTTCCCTCTTGCTGCATGGGGTGGCTGTTCAGGGGGAAGATTCCCCTTCCTCCACAATGAAATCCTTGCCGCCTTCTTCCCCTCCACAGTGTCTCAATACAATAGGGTTTCCCATGACAGCAAGAATTAGAAATGTTTATTCCACGACTATAAGAAGGAAGCTGATGGAGGACTGCCTCTGTTTAACCAAAATTATTTTGTCTCCTCTTTTATTTTTCAAGAAGAAAGGCCTCTTTGCTTCTTCAAACTCCTTCAATTTCTCAATCTCATTTCCAACCCAAAGTCATAATCTTCTATTTGTGACATCACAATTAATTGCGGTTGAGATAATTAAGATGTCACAAACAGAAGATTACAACCTCAGGTAGGAAATTAGCAGCAGAAGCAGATGAACTCTTAAGCAAGAAAGATCCTATTGTCATGCAAATATCCCTAGTGATTAAAAAAAAAACAAAAAACAATGGAAGACAAATGCTGAAGAGGAAATATGAAATGAGCCAAATTAACTCTCAAGAGAATGTTTTCTCATTTTTCCAGAAGGTAGAGCAGCCTTTCAAGATATTTTAAATGCCTGGGGGGATAAAAAGCAGGGGGCGGTGGGAGCACAATTCATCTACAAGTTTGTATATAATCAAAAGCATTTATTATGTTTTTTTCCTGGTGGTGTTGTCAGGTCCAGCTGACTAAACTTTGCAAGGAACTGGAAAATTTCCGTTTTCCATTTCAAATGTTGCAATCTTTGTTGTTATACTAGTCTTGAGAAAGCAAAGTACAAAACTCATCAGTTTTAGTTTTTACTAAGTCAGCTGCTTAAACAAATTCAGTGAATCTCAAATGTTCGGCATGTGTTCCAGAGTACCCATCTGAATCACTTACAGTAGCCTCTGCGTTGAATCTACTTAATTGAGCCACTTAGCATTTTGATTAAGCAGATTTAATTCAAAAACTAACTTATATGATGAAGCGTAAACTCTTTAAAAACAATTTATAGTGCAACTTGCAAAAAATCAACAGTGGCTTTCAAAGAAAAAGTAAGGATTAACTGTGTCAGTAGACTGTCATTTCACCAATGATTTAGCCAGTACAATGTCGATCAAAAATTGTTGATCATGTTTTGGCACATAAAAGAACAGTTTTAGCTTTGAGCTTTATTATATCCTTTAAAAACCCTCAATTTCTACACTACCTTCCAAATAAAAGCAAATAAATTCATGCCTCGCTGGCTGTAAACGCAGATGACTATGAAGCCAGCCTAGATCTGGCAGTGCTTCTTTGCTGAAAGAAGCAGAGATGGGCCCTGCCCTCAAGCCCATGGTCCTAGTTGTCTGGTTGTGACCACAATATGTCTATCTCCACTTCACTGCATGGACATTTTGGAGTCTTTGTGGAATATAGAATCATAGAATGGTTTGGGTTGGAAGGGACCTCTAAAGGTCATCTAGTCCAATCCCCCTGCAATGAGCAGGGACATCTTCAACTAGATCAGATTGCTCATAGCTCCATCCAACCTGACTTTGACTGTTTCCAGGGATAGAGCATCTACCACCTCTCTGGGCAACCTGTTCCAGTGTTTCACCACCCTCATTGAAACACATATCTGCCACATCCATCTCGGTCTCTTCTTCCACAGCAGCCCACTAAGAGCAGAAGCTTGGAACTGCCAAGTTTTGGCATTTTTAGACCCCATTCCCTAACCAAACATCTCCAAGGGTGAGAATTATTCCTCCAGGCTCCTTAATAGCAGGTCTGACATAGGTTGACCTAAATATCATATATAATCTTACAATGTCATAATCACGTAATGAATATTTACCATTAATTTTACATTTTAGTGACACTTAAATTCTGTAGTCTTGTCATGGCCCTGCTGCATTAGAAAAGGAAGATGGGAAGAGTTCTCCCAACCAGATTACCTCAGGAGAGCAGGGCTCACTTGTCAGGTCACACATACTCTTCCTTTGTGTCTTTGACAATTGATGTCATGAGCTTAAGATTTCCATGTAGAAGGAAAAAATGGTCAGGCACTACTGAGGTATTTTGTTATAAAGCCTATAAAAACCCTAGTATATAACATAGTTTGTCTCAAAGAGTTTTTTGAAAGTAAACTCAAAAGGTAATGCTGCTCCTAGTACTTTGATGTTTTATCAATGGCTAAAGCTGTCTCTATTTTGTAAGACAGAGAGAGAGAGAGATAAGGGGAAAATGTTATTTTATTGTATTTGTTACTTAGAAGTTTTTGTCACAATATGTGTGTTTTAGAAATCTGAGCGAGACGCAGACAGCTATATACTCTGTAATGACTAAACTCTAAGATAGACCTTACTAGCACTTTGTAGCCCTTACTACCATTGTAATTCCAATGACTTCTTAAATGTTCCACCAGTCATGTAGGATAACAGATTCAGAAAAGTACACACTTTTTTACTACACCAAGCTAATTTGTTATTAGAAAATGTAGGTACATGCTTAAACACCATTACAAAGCTTCTGGACCATCTAAAATAACAAACGAACAACATCCTTTAGGAGCCTTTTTGAGAACATCTAGAGCAAGAGCTGGTGGAGAGCAAACTGGTACAAAGTTGTCATGTGCAATCCATGTCTCGCTATACAGCTTCTCCCAGAAAAGGAATGTGTGTCAAGTTGGTCCTAATGGTATGTATGATGCAGCCAAGAATTTAGAGGTGTGACATGCTCCCCTGAGACCCTACTGAGCTAGCGGCCACCTTATCTCCACCATGTAGCACATGCTGGTGTGGGAGGAACAGAGGAATAAGCTTGCTTGCTTGATCTGAAGGACAAAATGCATCTCTCTTTTTGAAGGGCTGCCTCCAACATCCTGACTCCAGCTTGGGATGAGCTCCAGGCCCATACAGCCCATGCAGGCACTTAGGGCAGGAAGCGTGGGTGGCAGGCCAGAAGGCTGTGGCACACCAGTAAGTTCCCTGATGCCAACAACAAAGGACATGTGGCACCTGGTAGAGGGGACTGTTTCCTATAGCCAAAGCAAAGGACATATGAGAGGACATAGGAAGACCTCTGAAGTCCTTAGGAATCCCTCCAACTGGGATTCCTCCCAGGAGCTTTAGATCAGGTCCAAGCCTATTCAGCTGGACCTAGTTATCCTGGTTTCAGTTGGGATAGAGTTAATTTTCTTCCTAGTAGCTGGTATAGTACTGCGTTTTCGATTTAGGATGAAAATGATGTTGATAACACGCTGATGTTTTAGCTGTTGCTCAGCAGTGTTTACAATAAGTCAAGGACTTTTCAGCTTCTCGTACTGCCCTGCCAGTGGGGAGGCTGGAGGTGCACACGAAGCTGGGAGGGGACACAGCCAGGACAGCTGACCCAAACTGACCAAAGGGATATTCCATACCATATGACGTCATGCTGAACAAAACTCGAGCGTGGCTGCTGCTCGGGAACTGGCTGGGCATCGGTCAGCGGGTGGTGAGCAATTGCACTGTGCATCACTTGTTTTGTATATTCTTTTATCATTATTATTATTTTCCCTTCCTTTTCTGTCCTATTAAATTGTCTTTATCTCAACCCACGAATTTTACCTTTTTTCTGATTCTCTCCCCCATCCCACTGGGGAGGAGTGAGGAAATGGCTGTGTGGTGTTTAGCTGCCTGCCAGGTTAAACCACAACACCAGCATACAGCCCAATTTATTTACACAACAGACAAGTTAGAAAGCATTGTATTAAGAGCATGTTTCTAAGTTTGCGTGTTGCAAGTCTCTTGCTTCTTTGACTATCTTTC